AGACTGCCTCCATCAGATGCCTGTTAACAAACAATTCTGTAAAAGGCCGGTTCCTCTATGAGGGCTGGAGACAGGCCTGTCTAGTCCCTTCCCCCTAAGTCTACTAATCACTCAAATGCAGCAATTAAACAGCATAATCAGGGCAGCTATTACAAGCAGTGTAAGCAAAGCTGAGTTCATCAAAGCCACTGCTGTTCCCAGGATTTTGGAGGCATATCGTAGTCCCTTGTATCTCCTAACTAAGTCTGTTAAGGAATTGGGTATAAAGTGGAAGAGTAAAAGAACCCCTTTTATCCTTCCTGAAAGGAAACACTGTGTGAAGTCTACAAGCAATTTTTTCCATTGATGTGTTTGTCGTTGTCCTTGGGACAAACAGCCAAAAGTACCCTCCATTTAGAATGTTGACTTAAACCAAGGAAAATGCGTCTGGTGGTGACTCTGCTTTTTAGCTAAGAAACATCTTCCATTCATGCAAATCTCCACAACTTGAAAATGGTTTTCTAACCAAACATATTCTCTTACAGGAAGAGAGTATTTCAAAACATGTAATGCAGTTAAAGAATTTAATGTGTATGAAGTTAATCCAGAGAGGCCAAATGGAATCGTGGTGGGGAAAACATATACTCTGAAGTCAGACTCTTGGCTCTGATACTCTGTATTTTTAACCTCTATAAGCTTCAGGGTCCTTATGTGTAACATAAGGATGGGCCCTATGTCACAGGGAAGGAAGGACTAAAAATCAAAAGTAAAATCTAGCTCATCGTCAACACAGGTAACAGTGGTTTATATTTATATTAATTTTTATATGCTGCATTTATTGAGCACTTACTATGTGCCAGGGCTTCTTGGGTGGCACAAATGGTTTGTGCTCGACTATTAACCTAAAGGTTGCTGGTTCAAACCCACCCAGTGGCTCTCAGAAAGGCCGGGAGATCCAGGACTTTGAACCAGTTCATTGAAGTTCGAACTGCTACCGATAATTTGCATTTCTAATAAGTTCCCTGCTGATAATTTGCATTTCTAACAATTTCCCAGTAAGTTATACTTAAGAATGACCTGGGCATCTTGTTAAAATGTAGATTCAGTATATCTGGGGTGGAAATGAAAATTCTCAGCAGGGATTCGAACAGGAACTTACCGGTTCAAAGCCCTGTGGCACTCTGCTTCTGTAGGGATTACAGCCAAGTAAACATTATAGAGCATTTCTACTCTGTAACACATGTGGTCTTCATGAGTTGGCACTGACTCAATGACAACAGACTTGGTACTACGTGCCAGATGCTATTCATTTAATCCCTACAATAACCTTATGAGTTACTATAATTAGCCCCATTTTAAGGATGAGGACATGGATAAATTAAGTAACCTGCTCAAGGTTGCATGGCTGGTAACTGGCAGAGCAAGGTGGAGCCCATGGCCTTACCCTCTATGCATACTGCTTTTCACTACTATTTCTACTGTTGTTGTTTTACTTATATCTACTTTACTTCTTATGTTTCATCTTCCATGTCACCTCTAATTTATGATTCCATGAAACATGGGTATCAAAAAAAAAAAAACCCACTTGAGAAGTGACAACTAAATGACCTTATCTAGAAAATTTATAAAGCTTATCTGCAAAAACATAAAGTTAATTAAAACTCTTCCAAGGAAGAATAATTTGATATAAAACCATTGGGAACCACATGGTTCTGAAGACACTGAAATTATACATTTAAAACAATTCTTTTTTAATGTAACTTGATTTACTTTTAATGTGTTTGTATTATAAAGAAATTCATTTTCAAAAAACTTTATACTACAGGCAAATAAGCACATGTAAAGATGCTTAATATTACTAGTTATTAGGGAAATGTAAATTGAAACAACAATGAGACATCACTACACATCTTTAAGGATGGTAAAAATTTAAATATATATATATATATAAATTAAAAAAAAAAAAAAAAGAGCTGACAATACCTAGAACCTCATCCATTACTAGAGGGAGTCAGCCAGCCATATGTTGAATACAGACTCTACCACTTACAAGCCATGTGATTTTGGAGCATGTAGATTCTCTAACACTGGGTCATCTTCACTTTCCTGGGATGAACTCCTTTTGATCACTGTGCCAGTTATCAATTTACTGCCACTCAACTCCGAATTCACCCTTCAATACATGGTCTACAATAATGGACAGCCTTCCTTTATAAGCATCTCTCCTTTACAGTAAGCATGATGGGAAGCTTTCTCAGTAGACAGCACTGGAGGGACACTTGGGAGGAAGGGGCTCTTTTGCTGGTTCCCGCAGATGCACCGTTGCTCAGAAGTGTGGACATGACAGCGTCAGTGGGGACCACCCAGAATGTGTGGTCCCTTGGCAACCTCTCAGACCTGGCCCAGGCTGAGACGACCTTCCCATTATCATCCCAGCATGGATATGGGGCACCCCAAGTTTCCTGTCAGCACCAGCACCCCAACTCTCCCTGCTTGCTTGCCTCCCAGAGAGGCTTTGTTTCCTGTAGTCCTTCATAACACAGGCACTGGCCACTCAGGCACCCTGACTCTCTCCGAATATCTGCACATCTGCACATTGGCTACAACTCACCTATGCCCTGGAGGGTTGCTGTTCCATAATTAGATATTAAGTAGGATTACAGATCTTTGGGTGGTGGAACACAACACAAAGACACTGGGACAGACGACAGGCAAGACTCTTTGCTACTTAGAGCTCCAAACAAGAAAAGGCTGTCAGGCAGGGCCACACGGGGGCTTGCATCTGGGGGTGGGTAACACTGAGCTGGAATTATAAAAGGTGGCTTGTGTATAGCAAGTAGAAGGGGTTAGATAGATTTTTCAGGCTTCCTGGGGATTGGGTATTTTGAATAACTCCACGGACCCAAAGAAAAAGGGGGCCATCCCTGTGTATGAGGCATCTGGGGCCTCTGTGTATTGTAACCCATGAGTGTTAGAGCCAGATAAGGAAAGTCACTGTGGTGAAGGTTTAGGAAATTGTCTGAGAAGGAGATTGAGAATTTTTAGACATGATCTCAAAACTGGGTCAACACCAGACCAGACCCAGACCCGCTGCCATGGAGCCGATTTCCGATTCATAGCAACCCTGAAGGACAGAGTAGAACTGTCCCATAGGGTTTCCAAGACTGTAAATCTTTATGGAAGCAGACTGCCACATCTTTCTCCCGTGGAACAGCTGGTGGGTTCGAATGGCCAATCTGTCAGTTAGCAGCTGAGTGCTTAACCACTGCACCACCAAGGCTCCTCACAGCACTTGTGAAGTATTAAAGTTGCTTCCTGCTTGCCCAGTGACTGTGGACCATCTCTGGCCTGGGAAACCCAAAGTTCTCTACCATTCATGTGGCTGCAATCATGCCTTCTCCAACAAGGTCTCTTTCAAGTCTGTCCTTCCTTGAGTACTCTCCCTTACCATTAAGGCACCCTAAAGAGTTATTTTTAAATCTTACAGTTACTCTTCTATTATAATAATTCTTTATATTAAACGTCTACCATTTAAATCACTGTGTGGTTTCTGTCTTCTGATTGGACCCAGACGGATATAATTCCAATGTGATTACACTCATAATTGTACTCATGAACAGCATTTGCTAACAGTGAAGGCTATGGAATGAATTTTGCTCCCCCAAAATATGTGTTGAAATCCTTGTACCTAAGAATTTGATCCTGTTTGGAAATACAGTTTTTCTTTTGTTATATTAATGATGTCACACCAGTGTAGGGTAGATCCTATACCTAATAACTTCTGAGTTACAAAAAGAACAGATTAGACACAGACACACACAGGAGGAAGAGAGACGCCATGTGAGGACTGTCTGCAAGCCAAGGAACCAAGGAATGCCTGGAGCTACCAACAAAAAGGAATGAACAGGATGAGAGCTTGATCTGGGCTTTTAGCTCCCAGAACTGTGAGAAAATTAATTTCTGTTCTTTAAAATCACTCAACTGTGGTATTTGTGTTACTAGCATTAAGTAACTAAGACAGTGTATTTATGATTGTTTTTACTTTTCCTTCTAGTTTTACCGTATTGTAGTTAAAGAATGTGGCCTATGCAATTCCTACTTATTAGAATTTATTGCTATTCTTTATAAAATAATGTATGGTCACTTTTCAAAAGCTGTTTCCTGGAAAATGGAAAAGAAGGTGCAGTCTCTATTTCTACAATAGAGAGATGGCTATAGATCAACTTTATTATTCAGATCCTCTATACAAGGGGTCAAGAAACTTTCTCCGTAAAAGGTTCAAAAAGGAAGTATTTTAGGCTTTTAGGCTATAAGGTTTCTGTTGCAACTACTTAATTCTGCCTTTGTAACGTGAAACCAGCCATAAACAATATGTAAACAAACTGTCTGTGTGGTGGTATTCCAATGAAACTTTATTTACAAAAATAGGCGTGAGCTAGATGCAGCCCACAGGCCATGGTTTGCCAACCCCTGCTCTACATCATTACGTTTATCCACTTGACCTGATTAGTTGGTCTAAACTCCAAGTTTTTGTTTGACTCTCTTCATATATCTGGTGGTCTTGTGTAGTCTTACCTGTTCTTATTTATTTTCATTTCATTACTGAGGAGATTGAGAGGGATACATTCAAAGTCTGTGTCTGTGCTTCTGCATTTCTGGGGAGTCTTGCATGCCAAGTATAACTCTTAAATATCTTTTTTAAGGGAACTGATTCCCAAAATAATTTTTTTCTTCTTTCTTGGAATTCATTTGTTGAATTTTTCACCTCGCATTCATTAAGAAGGTAATTGAATTTGAGGTTCTGCCTTACTTAAAGGTCTATTTATAGAAATGATAAGGCACTTGGTTTTAAAATAAAGTAGAAACTTAGTATTTCCAGGCCAAATCATCTTCTCAAATTTCCTTTGGTTCTAGTTATGAATGGAATTGAAATTTATCATAAGAACTCAAGAGATTATGAAATTCAAACAAGATGACTTCAATTCAGCAATGTTCAGAAAGACACACAGTTAAGTTCTTACCAGCGGAATGAGCAGGCTGATGAGGTCTGTCAGAGGTTTGCTGAGCAGCAGCAGGTCTTCAGCAGCCTGAGTGTCCCCTCCCGAGCCAGACTTCTGTGCCTGAACAGGACAAAGAGAAGGGGTCAGGGACTCGTACTGATTAGTCAACTTGGGGGTAAAAGACAGCTTCACTCAGTCTAGCAGATGAAGGGAGCTGAAGAAGCAATCCACCTCAGTTTCCGAGTGTACGACAGATGGAGGCTCAAGAAGAGGTTATGTTTTGTTATGAGAAGACAGAGTACACACACTGCCACTGTCACTAGCTTCTACAGATAACTGGTGACAAAGCCAGGAGCTAAACTCAGCTATCAAACTCCAAATCACACATGCTGATTTCCTCTGGACATTTTAATGCACATCATATGATACATAGCAAATGTGTTCTGATATGCTTGTCTTCTCTATATGCGTGTTGTTAACCACCATTGAGTGGGCCCCCAATTCATGGCAACCCCATGCACAACAGAACTAAATGCTGTCTGATCCTGTGCCATCCCCATGATCAGTTGCAGATAGGACTGCTGGGATCCATAGTGTTTTCACTGACTGATTTTCAGACGTAGATTGTTGGGCCTTTCTTCCTAGTCTTAGTCTGGAAATTCTGCTGAAACACGCATACACGTGCTCAAATCAAATCTAGAACATATGTCCAGTGTATCATTGCATGGAAGACTTCAGGTCCACATACCTTAGGAACTGTGTGCCCACACTGCAATGGTAATAAAAATGAGTAGGTGGCTTATATTTTAAGTGTGTCTTCTCCCAGGAGTTTAATTAAAAAAAAAAAACACACACAAAAACAAACTCATTGCCACAGAGTCAATTCTGACTCCCAGCGACCCTACATGGCAGAATAGAACTGCCCCATAGAGTTTCCAAAAAGCAGCTGATGGATTCGAACTGCTGATCTTTGGTTAGCTGCTCAGCTCTTTAACGACTATGCCACCAGGGCTCCTCGGAGTTTTATAGAACTGCCTAATTCCAGAGGAGATTTCTATCATAGAGTAACTTTATATTTTAAAGAGGTACTGAGTACATATTATGTTTTCTATAGTACATACACACATTTCATTCACATCCTTCCTCTCCATTTTTACTTTCACTCAAAAGAAACAAAACCACTTTTAGGTAATGGCCTTTGCCAGAGCTGTTAGAGCAGGTTGCAGGCTGCTCCACCCTGAGTCGTGAATCTGGACTCCAGGGCACTTCTCATGAATGCTAATTTTCCTTCTGCACTTCAGACCTCTACACAGAATTTCAATTGCCTGCTTTCTTTGTTTTGGAAGGACTTGACTGAAAATCAGACACCAGTCTTTTAACAACAGGCACCTCCCTACAGCCGACGGGAACAATGGCAATCACTAGCCTGCAGCTTTCCCCAACTGATATGATCAGAAAGGCAGAGTTTTCTCCCAGAAAACAAATGTGCAGCTCTATCCTAGCACTTTGAACCTTTCAGAATCTCAGCTGTTGATCCCTTGTCTTCTGAAGCATGATCTAAAATGGACTACTGGCCTTCTCACATTAACATCATCCTGCAGAGTAGACTGATTGCCTCTTGGGAGAGATATGGCAGTCTTGCAAATCAGGACCAAAGCAGCAGTGAGGAGAATGGTCCCACCGACTTCCTTTCCAAGCACACATAAGCAAGCAGTTGGGGCCACAAGAACAAGCGCACCCTCTAAAAAAATAAAATACTTAGGAATAAACCTAACCAGGGATGTAAAAGACCTATACAAAGAAAACTACAAAACACTACCACAAGAAACCCAAAGAAAACATCCCAAGCTCACGGATAGGCAGACTCAAAATCGTAAAAATGACAATTCTACCCAAAGCAATTTACAAATACAATGCAATCCCGATCCAAATACCAACAACATTCTTTAAAGAGATGGAAAAACAAATCATTAACTTTATATGGAGAGGGAAGAAGCCCCGAATGAGTAAAGCATTATTAAAGAAGAAGAATAAAGTAGGAGGACTCACACTACCTGACCTCAGAACCTACTATATAGCTATGGCAGTCAAAACAGCCTGGTACTGGTACAACGACAGATACATTGACCAATGGAACAGAATTGAGAACCCAGATGTAAATCCATCCACCTATGGTCACCTGATCTTCGACAAGGGCCCAAAGTCCATCAAATGGGGAAAAGACAGTCTTTTTAACAAATGGTACTGGCAAAACTGGATGTCCATCTGCAAAAAAATGAAATAGGACCCATACCTCACATTATATACAAAAACGAATTCAAAATGGACCAAAAACCTAAATATAAAGCCAAAAAACATAAAGTTCATAGAAGAAAAAATAGGATCAACGCTAAAGGTACTAATACACGACATTAACAGGATACAAACCATAAACAACAACACACAAACTCCAGATGATAAGCTAGATAACTGGGATCTTCTAAAAATCAAACACCTATGTTCTTCAAAAGACTTCACCAAAAGAGTAAAAAGAGAACCTACAGATTGGGAAAAAAATTTTGGACATTACAAGTCAAAGTATAATCTCTAAAATCTACAAGAAAATCCAACACCTCTACAACAAAATGACAAATAATCCTATTAAAAAATGGGCAAAGGAAATGAACAGACACTTCACCAAAGAAGACATTCAAATGGCCAACAGACACGAGGAAATGCTCGCGATCACTAGCAATTAGAGAAATGCAAATTAAAACCACAATGAGATACCATCTCACCCCAACATTACTGGTATGAACCAAAAACACTGGAAATAACAAATGTTGGAGGGGCTGCAGGGAGATGGGAACTCTTATGCACTGCAGGTGGGAATGCAAAATGATACAATCATTTTGATAAATGATATGGCGCTTCCTCAGAAAGCTAGAAATAGACATACCATTCGATCCAGCAATCCCATTCCTAGGAATATATCCTAGAGAAATAAGAGTTGTCACTCGAATAGACATATGCACACCTATGTTCATGGCAGCATTGTTCACAATAGCAAAACGATGGAAACAACCTAGATGCCCATCAACAGATGAATGGATAAACAAACTATGGTACACACACACAATGGAGTACTACGCAACCAGAAAGAACAATGAATCTGTGAACCATCTCATAACATGGATGAAACTGGAGGACGTTATACTGAGTGAAATAAGTCAATCACAAAAGCACAAATATTGTATGAGACCTCTATTGTAGAAACCCATGAAAAAGTTCACACACAAAATGTAACCACCTTTATTGGTTACCAGGGATGGGAGGGGTGGGGGGGGAAATACTAAATAGGCAATAGATAAGTGGTATCTTGGGTGAAGGGTGAGACAGTACATAATACTGGGGAAGCCAGCACAACTCATACAAGGAAAGGTTATGGAAGCTCCATAGACACATCCAAATTCCCTGAGGGACTGAATTGCTGGGCAGAGGGCTGTGGGGACCATGGTCTTGGGGAACATCTAGCTCAATTGGCATAACACAGTTCATATGGAAAATGTTCTACATTCCACCTTGGTGAGTAGCACCTGGGGTCTTAAAAGCCAATGAGCAGCCATCTAAGATACTCCAATGGTCTCACCCCTTCGGCAGCAAGGGAGAACGAAGAAAACAAGATACAAGGGAAAGATAAGTCCAAAGGACTAACGGAACACTACTACCAGGGCCTCCTCCAGACCAAGTCCAGTACAACTAGATGGTGCCCGGCTACTACCACTGACTGCTCTGACCGGGATCACAACAGAGGGCCCTGGACAGAGCTGGAGAAAAATGTAGAACGAAATTCTAACTCACCAAAAAAGATCAGACTTACTGGCCTGATGGAGACTGGAGAAACCCCAAAGTATGGCCCCCAGACACCCTTTTAGCTCAGTAATAAAGTCACTCCTGAGGTTCACCATTCAGGCAAAGATTAGACAGCCCCATAAAACAAAATGAGACTAATGGGGCGCAACAGTCGGGGAAAAGGACTAGAAAGCAGGAGGAGACAGGAAAGCTGGTGATAGGGAACCCAAGGTTGAGAAGGGGCAGTGTTGACATGTCGTGGGGTTGTTAATCATTGTCATAAAACAATATGTGTACTAACTGTTTAATGAGAAACTATTTGTTCTGTAAACTTTCCTCTAAAGTACAGTAAAAAATTAATTTTTAAAAAAACAAGCACACACTGTGGACTTTTCCCACCTGGATATCCAGTGGTCCTCCAGAGTGTCCAGGACCTACACAGCCACTTGTTAGTGTCACCTAGAAACATCCAGAGTCTGACCCACATACTGGCATTCAGGCACCACACCTCCCTGTAAAGTTACCAAGGGTTCCAGAAAAGGAATGCTGCCACACTGCCCAACAGGGAGGTGAACGCCAGGAATGCATTAGCAATGCACCTCTCCTCAGAAAAACATGGGCCCACGCAGAAGCTGTATGGACCAAAGGGTTCCCTCCATAGATGCAGGAGTAAATACAGAAGCTGAACGACAAATTCAGAGACTCAGCCCTGCCCTTCTTCTCAGTCTCTCTCGAATTCCCCAGCATCAGCCTCGGGACCCTGCCTCTGTGGCCCTCTGTGTGCATTTTGCAGGGGCCCCAATCCACAGCCAAGAAATCCCCACTGCTGCCATGACATCACTACTGCCCTCTCCATCCAGACCTTCCACCTTTGCCTCTGGTCCCACTGACCTCTTTCCAGAACTCACTGGTCACTGGTGTGGTAACCTAGCCCCTTCCCAGCCATCCAGGGTTCTTGACCACCCATTGTTACAGTCTGGGCAAGAGGATGGTAGCCTGGGCGAGGGTGGTAGCAGTAGGACTTGAGTGAAGTGGTTGGATTTGTTAGATCTTTAAGGTAAAACCAACATTACTTGGTGAGAGATTAGATGTGGCAACTAAAACAGAGGGAACTTTTAAGAATGACTCTCAGGTTCTGGTTTGCACAGCTGGGTGGCAGGGCTCACTGGCAGGGGACTGTCAAGAATGCCAAGGAGTTAAAAAGTTTTATCACAGATAAGGCGGCGTCATTGGCATTTTCAAAGGGAGCGAGATGGTCAGGCCTATAGGCTATGGCAGAAAAATCACATTTGTAGTAGCTCATGGGAAAGAACAACAAGGAGGTCATGGAGGAATCACACTGGATAATTCCAAGATACACAAGAAATAAGATGTTATATTTCCCAACCATGGACAACCTTGACATGCATATGAGACAGAAAAAGCAGCAGTGGCCATGTCAGTTTCTCTGCAATACCAACAGGTCTACAAACAACAGCAGCTCAACTGTCCAACTACAGAAGAGTAATGTAACAATCTCCCATACATATACCACCTCGGAAATGATGGGCTAGACCCAGCCTGGCAAGTCAGATGATCTGGATTCTAATAGCCTTCCCTGGAAAAGCTTTCTCTAGCCCCCAAGACTAGGTTAGGCCCTGTTTCCTCTTTATTGACTGTGCAGCACTCTATAACTATCAGTCACTGCACTTCACACATGTAATTAAGATACTGACTGGCTTCATTATTGGTTTACTGACAGTCTTCCTGACTAAGCTGTAAGCTCCCTGAGAGCCAATGCCATTTCTCCCTTGATCCCTGCTGTAATTACAGATGCCTAGTCCTGTGCTGGAGCCCTGGTGGTGCAGTGGTTAAGAGCTTGGCTGCTAACCAAAAGGTCAACAGTTCGAAGCTACCAGCCACTCCCTGGAAACTCTATGGGGCAGTTCTACTCTGTCCTACAGGGTCGCTATGAGTCAAAATCGACTCAACAGCAACAGGTTTTGTTTTTTATTTTGTGGGGGGAAGTTAGTCCTTTGCTAAGGTTGTGCTAAGTACAAAATAAAACAATACATTAATAACCCATAACCCTGATAGGAATTAGTTCAGTCCAGCAAGTATGAACTGAGTGCCCTCCCATGTGCTAGGACCCAGAAATAGGGACATCTTGGCCTGCAGGAAGGCTCTGGTAACCAGGAGGGTGAACAGCTTTCTTCTTGCTGCTGGTAATGATGCAGCAACCATTTATTGAATACCTTCCCTGGACCGGGTGTGTGTAAGGCACTTTATATTTACATATGTATACATATATTTTATTTTCTCATTCATTAGTTACTACCATATCGATTTTACAAATGAGGACACTGAAACTCAGAAAGGTGAAGAAAATTGCCCAGGGTCATACAGGTTGGAGAGAGGTGTGTGGCTGGGTTTGGATCCAAGGAATTCCAGTCTTCAAGTCCACATGCCCTCACCACACCAGTGGTTCTCCAGCGTGTTTATTTGTATCTGCCTCCACAACTTTCATGCACTTCTAGCAGTGACATCTCCCTCAGGGGTTTAAAGTTCCTTTAGAGACCAATTTTTAAATGCAGAGCAGGGTGGAGGGTAGGAACTGAATTCCTGATAGAGATTCTGACACAGGCCTTTCCCCACTCCCTACCTCCCCCAAGGCACATTCTCGCATCATACCATTCTCCCTTCCCTGAAAAGAAAAAGTGCTTCATAAATCCAAGTACTATTATAATTTTAAACATTGGCTTCCCTCAATTCTTCAGCCCAAATATCTTTCTTCTACTTTAGAGAAGCTACTGTTAAAATTAGACACAGGCTTTAAATGCAGAAGAGTTGTCAACATGAAGCATGTTTATAAATGGAAGAAGTAGCTTACATTTTCAGAAAGTACTCCCAGCTCAGTGCTTCAGGAGGATGCGTCTTTGATGCACACTCCATTTCTTTTCCCAACTCTTTCCCCTAATTCAATCTCAAGGACTCTACCTCTTTCAGACCGACACCAGGTATCATGGAGATCAAAGTTGGTGACCAAGGCCAAGAGCTATAATACATGGTGGATATTATGAGGAAAGATGTGGAAAGATGACAGCAATAAAATATGCAGTGGTGTTTAAAATTAGAAAAAAAATGTTTATCGGCATATTAACAAAATAGAAAAAAAAAGAATGAGAAAAAATTTTGTGTTAAGGGGTTTTCTTTTAAGCATACGTACATCTCTACCTAGTCACTAGTAATAAAAGAGGATTCCTAGAGATCTTTAAACTTGTGATCCTTTTTATCTACAATCTATAAGACATACTCATTTAGAGATCAATATCATCAAGGCATCTTATGAGAGTAACTATCTACTGCACCACTATGGAATCCTAAATAAGAAACAATGTTCTCTGAAGACAGACTTAGTAGAAAAGCTAAGAGAAATCCATAATCCAGTGCTCCATAACTACTTAACAATGCTTTACTGTAAACGTAGTAGTATTATAGATGAGCAAATAAAAAACTCTCGGTAGCTGAACAGACATTGTCAGCTATCGGCTTTACAAGTTTAGGTTAAACACTTACTAAGTACCTGTAGTGTCTGTTGAGGGAAGCTTGGAATTATTTATTAAAGCATATTAGACAAGCCAAACACCTGACCAACTTAACTATGGCTAAAAGACACCATTTTTCACAATGATGAATAGCACAGACTAAACCAGGGTCTACGGATTGATTCTTGGCTCTACTACTGTGTCACTTGGCAAGGTGTCAAAACAGTCTGGCTTCCACTTTAGCTTCTGCATCTATCCAAACCAGGATACTACCATTTGATACACATCTCTTGCAAATTTTACTAGGATTCTAAATATAAAAATGAATTCATATTGGCTGTGTGCCTTTCATGTGATTGAAGTAGCAGATGACTCAGTTGCTTAGAGGGCATTAAATGAAATAAGCATGTGGAGGCATTAACCACCTAATATGGAAAGTACTCAATAAACCCACATCTTCTTCCTTCCCTCTTTCAAGCCTGATGCTAAGTAAATCCAGGGTACAGTTTAGGGAAAATTGACTTTTTCCACAGCCAGTGAATACACCTCCGTTGTTGTTTTTGTTGTTAGATGCTGTCGAGTCAGTTCCAACACACAGCAACCCTATGTACAGCAGAACAAAACAGTGCCCAGTCCTGCACCATCCCCACAATTGCTGCTGTGTTTAAGCCCCCTGTTGCAGCCATCATGTCCTACGTCAATCCATCTCATTGGGCTCTTCCCCTTTTTCACTGACCCTCTACTTTACCAAACATGATGTTCTTTTCCAGGGATTGGTTCCTCCTGATAACATGTCCAAAGTACATAAGACGAGTACAAACTATTGAATGGGAAACTAATTTGCTCTGTAAACCGCCACCGGAAGTACAATTAAAACAAAACAAAACAAACAAACAAAAAAACAAACTAAGTGAGATGAAGTCTCGCCATCCTCGCTTCTAAGGAACATTCTGGCTGTACTTCTTTCAAGACAGATTTGTTCGTTCCTCTGGCAGTCCATGGTATACTCAACATTCTTCGCCAACACCATAATTCAAACGCATCAATTCTTCAGTCTTCCTTATTCATTGTCCAGCTTTCACATGCATATAAGGTGACTGAAAAATCCCGTGGCTTGGATAAGGCATACATTAGTCCTCAAAGTGACATCTTCACATTTTAAAATGTTAAAGAGGTCTTTTGCAGCAGATTTGCCCAGTGCAATTACAACTTTTGATTTCTTGCCTGTTGCTTCCATGGGTGTTGACTGTGAATCCAAGTAAAATGAAATCCTTGACAACTTCAATATTTCTCTGTTTATCATGATCCCGCTTATTGGTCCAGTTGTGAGGTTTGTTTTCTTTATGCTAAGGTGTAAGCCATACTGAAGGCTGTAAGTCCTCGTCACTTTCAGCAAGCAGTTGTGTCATCTGCGTAACACATGTTCATGAGTCTTCCTCCAATCCTGATGCTGCATCCTTCCTCATATAGTCCAGCTTCTCGGATTATTTGCTCAGCATACATACAGACTGAATAAATAGGGTGAAAGGATACAATCCTGATGCACACCTTTCTGATTTTAAACTATGCAGTATCCCCTTGTTCTGTTAGAACAATTGCATCTTGGTCTATGTACAGGTACCACAGGAGCACAATCAAGTGTTCTGCAATTCCCATTCTTTGCAATGTTATCCATAATTTGTTATGATCTACACTGTCGAATGCCTTTGCATAGTCCATAAAACAAAGGTAAACATCCTTCTGGTATTCTCTGCTTTCAGCCAGGATCCACCTGACATCAGCAATGATATCCATTGTTCCATGTCCTCTTCTGAATCTGGCTTGAATTTCTGGCAGTTTCCTATCGATGTACTGCTGCAATCATTTTTGAATTATCTTCTGCAAAATTTTACTTGCATGTGATAACAGACCTCAAGTCCTCCAAAAGCATCTCACAATTCCATGTTATTGGTCATAAGGAAAAGCAAGTGACAGAGTTTATGTGTTATGTATCTATGCATATGTATCTATATGTGTGCGTGTGCATAAAATTTCAATCCACTCTTCCTAGCAACTAAGCCATTCTGTGCTGGGGGTGGACTGGCCTACCGTCTCTGGACAACAGAGACTGAACACCACCTGGCTAACCCAGGGTGCACCGAAGGCAAATAAGGTCTTAGGTCAGGAGCAATTTCCCAACTAGCAAGTCTTGCTTACTAGATCTCTCCTGCTTTCCCTTAAGATCTTGTGATCAAATTCTCTATTCATGACACTGGTCACTCAAAGATAGCTTGTTCACAGTCCCTCCCTATAGATTTTTATATTCTTTTGTGAAAATAAAGAGACATTAGAAGAAAAACAGGAAGAAGAGAATGAAAGGGTGACATGCCATGGATCAGAGTTGCTTGAGCTACAGGAAAAGCGGTATCTACCTGCAGAGCCAGACGTGCAATGCTGGACGTGTAGGTCAGCATCCCATGCAGAATATCCAGCAGGGAAAACAGCAGCGCGGCGGCTGTCTCATTGCTGCTTTTATTGTCCACATCCAAGCATAGTGTGGCAGTTTCGGTTAACAGGTTGCAGACATGATTGACGAGTCCTGAGGGGAAAAAATATTCATCAAATATTATAAAAAATAATGTGTGATATAAACCAAACAGAACAGGCCTTCCTGCACTAGGTTGTATATGCCCTAAGCTGTCCTTGAACACTATACCAGATTCACTTGGCCAAGTTGTTTAAAATACAGGTTTCCAGGGATGGGGCTCTGGAATGCGGCCAGGGAATATACTTGTTAAACCATCTCCCCAGGTGATCCTGATGCAAGGATTCCTGAAACCATACTTTGAGAACCATTACCCTACATGAGTGCACTTCATCGGGTCTGGAGACTCGCTGATACTGAAGGAAAGGAAACATGTTATATACAAACACACTGTTCCCAGGTTCTCTGAAGGCCATGCTTTTCAATGTATGGATTAGGGACGATGGGTACACCCAGAGATCAATTTTGTTCTTACACATTTCAAAAATTTGAAATGTAAGATTAATTATGATTTCAAGAAAGCAGCTGAAGTTTAGAAATTGCCACATTCTATCATTTTGTCTCTGTGGTCAGTCTTCACCAACAGTTACTTTGGTGTAGTTTGTCACAACAAATAAATTTTCACATTTTGGGGGTATTAAGCACTCAACTGCTAACTGAAAGGTTGGTGGTTCGAACCCACCTGGCAATCTGCTTCCGAAAGGTCATAACCTTAAAAACCCTACAGAGCAGTTCTACTCTGTATGCATGGGATCACTGAGTCAGAATCAATCAATGACAACTAACAACAACAAAAACAATGTTTACATTTAAGTTGGAATTTTTGTTATAATATAAATATATTATGTAATAAGGCAGTATTACATCTTGAATTCCCAAAAATGAATCCTATATAAATGTGAAAGCACAGCATGGAATAATGTTATAAATCTAAATGGTAAATGGGACCTTGAGTATTAGTACATCTTAATTCAAAAAGAAAAAAGAATCTTGAAAGGCCAGTATTTTACACAAGGAACTGAGGGGAAAAAAAACATGGTAAGGAAGTATGGCGTGTATTGAAAGCTGGATTTTATTGAACAAGCAATGCAATGCAGGTCCCCAGACCACCAGCTGGATGGAAAATTGTCCAAACACAGCCATTAAAGCATTGCTACCTCTTCCAAATAACGCACATTGTCACTTCCAGTGAACTCATCTTGTTTTTCCTTTAAAACGTGCGAAGTAATGCTCTGAATAAAAAAGTAGTTTTGTCATTAAAGACAGAGGTGACACCATAATTACAGAGGCATCATTCAAAGTGGGACTCCTTCTGGCAAAAACAGGTACAAGTTACACAAATGCCAAGCCACTGCCATCGAGTCGATTCTGACTCATAAAAACCCGACAGGGCAGAGTACAGCTGCTCCATAGGGTTTCCAAGGCTGTAATCTTTACAAAAGCAGGCTGCCGCATCTTTATCCCATGGAGCGTCTAGTGGGTTTGAACTGCTGACCTTTCAGTTAGCAGCCAAGCACTTTAATCACTGCGCCACCAGGGCTCCACACAAATGCCAAGAAGCTTAAAAACAAAACAAAACAACTGAGCCACAAAGCTGAAGATAAACACGCTTGGAAGGAAGGTAGAATGAATTATTGGCAAAATTTCTTCATCAAATGACAAGGTCTGATATCACATATCATCAATGACGTATAGTGCAGAAAAGCAATTACGACGACACGTGCATTCACCCACAGGCGTTTCTCCTCTGAGTTACAGCATATCACTTACGTGCGTGCTGTGAATCAGCACATGGTATCTGTGAGCGGCAGATAAGAGAGAAGGGCTTAAAAAACGTAGTATTTGGCAAACACATGCTGCAAGAGAACATGTTTTCCTTTGTGGGGTTTACGATTACTTTCTGATGCAGCAGGCAGATGGTCAAAGGGGTCTGGGAGTCAGCATTGGTGAAGTCTAGCTACGTGAACAGCAGGGAAGGACGTGGCTCTTATATTGGCAGAGGTAAGCCCCTGTAAACCCATTTACAAGATGGTTGAGTCAGAGTAAACAGCTGGTGGACATAAGTGAAATAAGTCCAAAAAGGACCAATATCGTATGATCCCATTTATATGAAATATGCGGAAGACGCAAACGTATGGAGACCAAAGCATATTCGTGGTCACTAGAGGCAGGTGGGAGGACTCAGTGCTTAGGGGACACAGAGCTTCTGTTTAGGGTGGTAAAAAATTTGGAAACAATTACTGGTGATGGTTGAATAATATGATAAACATAAATAATGTCACAATTATACATAGGAGCCTTGGTGATACACTGGTTAAGCACTCGGCTGCTAACCAAAAGGTCTATGATTTGAACCCTCTAGCCGCTCCACAGGAGAAAGATGTGGCAGTCTGCTTCTGTAAAGATTACAGCCTTGGAAACCCTATAGGGCAGTTCTACTCTGTCATACAGGGTCACTGTGAGTTGGAATCCACTCAACAACAATAGGTAATGGGTATCTTGGTCATGTATTCAGCACTTCTTCAAAGCTAGAACTTTCATATGACAGTCAAAATACATGTTTTTCTTTTCAAAACTTTTTATTATTAAAATAAAGTCATGAGACAGTTCAGTAAAAAGAACTCCTAACCGCCTCCTTCAATAATTATTAACATTTTGCCAATCTTGTTTTACCTATCCCCATCTATTTTCTTTTTCTTTTAGTATTTTAAAGTAAATATCAGACATCTCAATTCTCCTGTAAATATTTCTACATAAGCCTAGCAGATAAGACCTCTTTTTTAACGAAAACCACAATGCCATTCCATTGCCACTTAACAAAATTAACATAATTTTTAATGTACTTATGTACTAGTTTTCTAAGGTTGCCGTAACAAAATACCACAAACTGAGTGGCTTAGAAGACTAGAAATTTATTGTCTCACAGTTCTGGAGGCTGGAGGTCCAAATCAACAAGGTAGCAGGGCCATGCTCTTTCTGAAGTCTCTAGGGGAAGATTCTTTCTTGTCTCTCAGCTTCTGGTAGGCCCAGGCACCCCTGGCTTGCAGCTGCAGTGTACCTACCTTCACATCCTTCCTCTGTCTCTGTGTCTCTACTCCTCTTTTACAGGGACACCACTCAGACTGGATTAAGACCCACTCAACTCTAGTATGACCTCATGTTAATTCATAACATCTACAAAGACCCTATTTCCAAACAAGGTCACATTCAAAGGTTAGGACTTCAGTATCTTTCTGAGGGATACAATTCAATCGTTAACAGTAACAGCCTTGTCTCAAAAGGATCTTTTTTACATTAGTTTATTTGAATCAAGATACAAACCAGGTCCACACATTCCACCTGACTGTGGGCTGTAAGTCTCCATTTACCTCTGTCTCTGTCCATGGCAATTTTTGATGCCATTTATTTTGGGAGAGAAATCACAACATTTCTCCTATAGATTTTCTCATGGTATCATTCCTCTGTTCTTATAATTTCTGTAAACTAGTCATTAGACAAAGAGACTTGATTCAAACCAGGTTCAATTCTTTTGGCAATAATGCTTCACAGGTGAGGGTATATATTTCCTATTATATCATATCTGGAAGTGCACACCTTCTGATTGCTCCAGTTGTGTGTGTGTGTGTTGTACGTTAGGTGCTGTCAAGTCAGTTCCAACTCCTGCTGACCCTATGTACAACAGAACAAAACACTATCCAGTCCTGCACCATTCTCACAATCATTGCTATATTTGAGCCCACTGCTGCAGCTACCGTGTCAATCCATCTTGAGGGTCCTCTTCTTTTTCACTGACCCTCTACTTTACCTAGCATGATGTCCTTCTCCAGGGACCCATCCCTCCTGTTAACATGTCCAAAGTAAGGGAGACGAAGTCTCGCCATCCTTGCTTCTAAGGAGCACTCTGGCTGTATTTCTTCTAAGACAGATTTGTTTGTTCTTCTGGCAGTTCATAGCATATTCAGTACTTTTCACCAACATCCTAATTCGAACGCATCAATTCTGCTTCAGTCTTCCTTATTCATTGTCTAGCTCTTGCATACATATGAGGTGACTGAAAACACCATGGCTCGGGTCAGGCGCACCTTAGTCCTCAAAGTGGTATCTTTGCTTTTTTAACATTTTAAAGAGGCTTTTGCAGGAGATTTGTCCAATGCAATACGTCATTTGATTTCCTGACTGCTGCTTCTATGGGTTTGATTGTGTATCCAAGTAAAACGAAATCCTTGACAACTTCAATCTTTTCTCCTTTTATCATGATGTTGTTTATTGGTCCAGTTGTGAGGATTTGTGTTTGTTTATGCTGAGGTGTAATCCATACTGAAGGCTGTAGTCTTTGATCTTCATCAGTAAGTGCTTCAAGTCCTCTTCACTTTCAGCAAGCAAGGTTGTGTCATCTGCATATCATATGTTGTTAATTAGTCTTCCGGATGCCGCGTTCTTCTTCATATAGTCCACTTGTAGTGATGTTAAACTTGATCTATCAGTCCTGGGATTGTCAGCATTATCTATCCATGTTAAGGTTCCCTATAAAATCTTATCTACTAATGATCATCATCTAGTCCCATTATTAGGTATGGCAATATGCTGATTTTCAAATTCCTTCTGTATTTTTTTAGCCAGTTTTCTTCTATAAAGAACCTCCCCTTATCAGCTATTTGGTTATTACAAAATATTATTCGTAAAGTAAAGGCAAGCTAAATATTTCCCTCTCTCCCATAATTTGCCAGTTTTCAGAATGATTCTTGGGCGCTAGCAACTACTAAAGGTGACCAAGGGGCAGGGAGGAGTTAGAAGCTATCAAAGGTTACTAATGTGTTCATTTTGCAGCATCCTTATGAACATAATGGATTTTGAAACAATATATTTTACGGTTTCAATTGATTAGAGTCATTATTCATCTTTTATGCTCAACTTGCCCCATCTTTGGCCACTGAGAGCCCCTTCAAGTTGTATCTTGTGTTCTTTTGATCTGACCCCAGTGGTCTTTGAAAGCTTCCTGGCTTCTGTTATATGTCCCTGGTTCATCTTACAGAATTCCTGCCTCAGACTGTGCA